CCCGGGTACTACAGAATAGTTGAGTAATTGATAAGAATTAATGAGGTTAATCGACTATTCAATTAACCAATATTTAACATCCCTAATCCCATCCTAATTTTAAAATGCCCAGTGATGGAGAATCGACCATAATCACACTCACTTAAAAATTAAGGCCTTATTCCCACTTTGATTCTGTCTAGCTTCAATTTCCAACCACTGGTGCATATTTGACCTTTCTCTGCCAGACTGATGTTTGTTCCCCAAGTAACAGACTGTGACCAACTCACCCCTTAGCCTTCTCTTTGTTAAGCTAAATAGACTGAGCTCCTTGTGTCTCTTGCTACAAGGCAGGTTTTCTAATCCTTTAATCATGCTCTTGGATCTATTCTAAGCTCTATAATTTAACAACATCCTTCTTGACTATGGACACAAAACTGGACACCATATTTCACTAGTGGTCGCACCTGTGCCGAATACAGAGCTAAAAAAATCTTTCTATTGCTACTGTACAGTCCTGTTTAAACAGCCATATACAACTTATCCAAGGCTGCAGCGCTGCACAGGGAACTCACATTCAGCTGATTAGCCACCACAACTCCCAAAGTTTTTTCAGCATCAGTGTGTCTCAAAATAGAGTCCCACAACTTGCAAGGATGGCCTGTGGGGGGCTGGGTGTGAAATGAAGAGACAGGAGTTTCCATTTAGGCATTCCGATGGCCTCGCCTTTGCCCTCACTCGTCACGTCACTGGTCTGCTCCGATAAGGAGATCCTGTCTCTGCGTCGAGCTGGAAACGTGCTGAGGTGACATCCGATCCCAAGTTGGGGTGCTGCGGAAAACAGCACACAGCTGGTCAGGCCCACTGGCAAGCCTGGAAAGGCAGGGGAGGTAGGAGCCCAGAAAGGCAGAAGAGGGCCCAGCGCTTAGTGGGAGCACTGTTCTTCCTCCCTCCATTATTTCCACATCTCTCCTTCCAGAACACAGATCCTGAAGTGGAAGCTATCATCACAGCTAGCAGGAAACTGCATGGGTAGAAGGCCATCTTTACAACCTGCTGCTTTCAGTTCAAATCAGCTTGTGTTTCTAGCACTTCTGGCTAGAAACAGAAGTCTATGAAGCTGCCACCTCCCAGCTAGTGCCCCCCAGGAGCTGCTTTTGCCCCCATCTATGGAGTTGTGAATTTTGAGGCCTTATCAAATCAATGGAGGGTCAACCCTTTCAGTTTTTGCACCAATCTCTGTCTCAAAGATCCAGCTGACATGCTTCTCTCACCTGGCCAGGCACGTCCTCTCTTAGCCACAGTGATCTTCCCTCTACTCAAAGAGAAGACACTTTGTCCTTAAACTAAAACATGTCCTTTTTCCAAAGCAAGAGTACTGTCTCTGGCACATTTCCTCTCCACATGGAGCTGGAACACAAAGACTACGTATCTCTGCAGACAATCCTCTGAGGTTTAAATTATAGTACTAAGAAAGCAAACACGCCGCAAGACATCTGGGGAAGGGGGCTGAATAATTGAGGGATTTGCTACTGTTTTAAGAGAGCTAGGTAAAAATATTTATTGACTTAGTCAAAAATGCTGCAGCATGCATCCAATACAGCATATGGAATTTGAGAGCTCTCAATAAAATGAGGCCCAGCAGCAGTAAATGTGGGTTCAGTTTCACTGCTAATCAATATGTCTGAACGATGAGCAGCCTTGCAGATTCAAATTTATCCCAGCTAAGCAAGAAAAACACTAAAACTGACACCTCCCCTGCAGATGTGCCAGGCTCCAGAGATTCCACTATGCTCTGGTCAGTAGGATCCTGGAATTCAAACGGCTGTTGGGTCAACTGGGGACTCTGCAGCCGGAACATCAGCACTCAGCTGCTCTCCACTAGAAACATGAGGGAGCCAAGCTATTAAGGAGTCAGATGTGGTACAATTTCACCTTCAAAGTATCAATCATTTTCCACAGTCCTGTGCACAATAGCTAAGCTTTATCTCCATTTAACAAACAGGAAAAGTAAAGCAAGAGTGCTGGAGTCACCTAGCAAGTCAGTGGGAGACCTGGGATTCTCTCTCCAAAAGGATATTAATGGTCAACAGCAGTCCAAGAACCCAGTCAGGATCAAGAACTGAACAGGCACACACAGAAACTCAGCTACACAGTCTGGGCACAGCTAGAACTCAAGATACTCCTGACCACCAGGGCCTCATGATCAGGCTGCAGCCCATACTGCACTGGCACGAATAAAGGAGGCCTGCTGCAATCTATGCTCTCACCTCAGATAAGCAGAGAGTTCATTGCTGGGGCAAGGGTAACAAGGCAGACATGGTACAAAATCTCCCGAGCTCAAGGACATGGTGCCCAACAGCTTTACAAGAGTCTATGGCAAAAGGTTACAGGTGCTGGAAAGCAAAGGCACCAAAATCCATTCCGTGAATGCTTCCTGCACCCCCTGCCCAATCAATGCAGCTAACATCTTGTCCACTGCACAGTGCCAGCCACCTTCACCCATGGCCCACCAGGCCATCACTTTGGCAAACCATCTGAGTGCAAGTGGAACCAGTGGACAGCTCCATCCAGACACACACCCTAGAGAAGTGGTCATCAACCAGTAGATAGGGATCTACTAGATCTTGAAGCCTCTGACAGGGGAACCTAACTGGTTTTGCCAAGAGGCTACCAAGCCCAGCACTTCAGCTGCCCCCCACAGATGGCTGTGCATCTCCTGCTCTTTGCCTTGGAACTGTCCCCTCAGGAGCCTCTGCTTTCTGTGCAGGGTAGGGCAGGGAGAAGACGGGTGCTGGTATCAAGATGCCCCACTCTATATCTTATTTCCACAGAGCAGAGAGGGGGCACAGCAGGACTTGGGATGGAGTTTGCTGGCTGCTTTTGGGAGTGGTACAGGGCCAAAGCCGGGGGGAGCCTGCCTTAGCCCCACTGCACCACCACCCAGGAGCCACCTGAGGTAAGCAGGGTCCAGCTGGTGCCCACATCCTGAAACCCTACCCCAGTCATGAACCCCCTCCTGTACTCCAAGCTCCTGCCCTAGTCCCAAGCACCCCTGCATCCAGACACCCTACCAGAGCCTGCAACTAGAACCCCATCTGACACCCCAACTGCCTGCCACAAGCTCAGCTCAGAGCCTCCCTCACACTCCAAATCCCTTAATCTAAGACCAGAGCCTGCACCCCAATCCTCTGCCCCTGACTGGTGAGGAAAGGTGGGGGAGGGAGGGAGGATGGAGTGAGCAGGGGTGGGGCCTCAGAAAAGGGGCACAAAGGAGATGGGGCAAGGGTATTTGGGTTTGAGTTAGATCTTGGATTGCACTTGAATTCAAAAAGTGATCTTGTGCTTAAAAAGGTTGGAGACCACTGCCCTAGAGCCTCAGAGGTGTGACCTGTGTGCACATACAATGAGCATTCGGTGGCCACTGCAACTCTGGGGTAACATCTTGGGCTGAGGATTTCAGAGATGCCCAAGGGCGTTTGAAGTCCAGCCCCACATAAAGCCAGTGCTTGCCAGGGGAACTTCAGAAATAAAAGCCACCTCACAAAGTAACATGACATGTGCTTCTGCGCACGCCCTTCCTTGGCGTCTGTTCTCGGGACAGAAGGCACAGTGCTTCCAGTTCTCTCTAACGTGCATTAGTCTCCCCAGGCCCTTAAAGCAAACAGTGCCTTCCTTTTCCTGGCCCATCCCTCTTTCTGTTAGTGGGGTGTATAACATGAATGTAATTAAGAGCTCAGAATTGGAGTTTCATTTCTAAGGAGCACGCAGATGCCACCGGGCACATGACACAGAGATAAGATTGGCTGCTCTGGCAGCATTCCAGGTGCTCAGTAGAGTCCATTGTCCAGGAGGCAAAAACGTACCCTGTGCATGGAGAAATGTATTTGACCAGATCTGGTCTCACAGGTAATTGCATAAGCCTTCATATCAGATCACACTGAATACACTGCATTTGGTGTCTTGCCTCGAGTGGAGGTCAGCACCAGCCACACCAAAGGAAAGCAGGCCCCATAATGCAAAAAGCCAATCCTGCAGGCTCCTGCAGGGTGGGAGGAACAGGAAAGATTTGTTCCTCATTCCCATAGCAAAGAGCAGATGACCTGAGATCAGTCATTCCCATCTCTGCAGATACCACTACAGACAGAAGAGACCTTAAGGGAGATACAGACTCTTCCTAGCCTCAGCTGCTTGCGTATCCACCTCAGACCCAGCAACAGGGAGTTCCACAGGGCACCCATGCATGGGCAAGTTAGCATTGGCTATAAACATCCAGGCCTGACATGTTGACAGGGCTGGGTGGCTTGCACCTGACTCCATAGCACCCAACCCTTCAGAGTGCCACTGGTCTCTGCAGGGAGATCCTTTGCCTGCCCTGACCAGTCCCACAGCCCGACACACAACAGGCACTGGGTCAAGAGCACCAGCACCAACGGGACACATCAGGGCTGGGAGCTCCGGCAGTGCCCAGCTCAATATGAATGTAAAATCCCGAGTAATCAATTAACTGGTTAAACAGTTAGCCCCTGAGGCCTCAGCTCCCCCTCCCACACAGGGCTGGCTGTTGAGTAACCCGTTGACTTGTTCACATCCCTCCAGGCCAGCCACATCCTCCTGCCACCCCCCCATACCTCCATCCATGCAGCCTTTCAGCCTCCCACCACCATGCTTATCTACCCTGCCTCCTGCAGCCCTGACATCAGCCCCCATCCTCATTTCCACCTGTGCAGCCTCCCCAAGCCCTGCCACTTGCCCCACCCCCTGCTCTCACCCCTCAGCCATGCCATTTGCTCCCAAGTCTTCCCTTTCAACCTGTCACCTGCCCCCACTCCTCTCAGTGCAACTGCTCATAGCCCTGCCCCAACCCCCTACCCCCCTCATTCCACCAACTGCCCAAAGCCCCGGCCTCACCATTACCAACTGCCCATAGCCTCTCAGCCCTGCCCCCA